CAAACTGAGAGTTCTAAATAATTTTAATTCAATAGCTTCAGTTGATGCCAACTACATCTAGTTCAGTTGATGCCAACTACATCTAGTTCAGTTGATGCCAACTACATCTAGTTCAGTTGATGCCAACTACATCTAGTTCAGTTGATGCAAACTACATCTAGTTCAGTTGATGCCAACTACATCTAGTTCAGTTGATGCCAACTACATCTAGTTCAGTTGATGCCAACTACATCTAGTTCAGTTGATGCCAACTACATCTAGTTCAGTTGATGCCAACTACATCTAGTTCAGTTGATGCCAACTACATCTAGTTCAGTTGATGCCAACTACATCTAGTTCAGTTGATGCCAACTACATCTAGTTCAGTTGATGCCAACTACATCTAGTTCAGTTGATGCCAACTACATCTAGTTCAGTTGATGCCAACTACATCTAGTTCAGTTGATGCCAACTACATCTAGTTCAGTTGATGCCAACTACATCTAGTTCAGTTGATGCCAACTACATCTAGTTCAGTTGATGCCAACTACATCTAGTTCAGTTGATGCCAACTACATCTAGTTCAGTTGATGCCAACTACATCTAGTTCAGTTGATGCCAACTACATCTAGTTCAGTTGATGCCAACTACATCTAGTTCAGTTGATGCCAACTACATCTAGTTCAGTTGATGCCAACTACATCTAGTTCAGTTGATGCCAACTACATCTAGTTCAGTTGATGCCAACTACATCTAGTTCAGTTGATGCCAACTACATCTAGTTCAGTTGATGCCAACTACATCTAGTTCAGTTGATGCCAACTACATCTAGTTCAGTTGATGCCAACTACATCTAGTTCAGTTGATGCCAACTACATCTAGTTCAGTTGATGCCAACTACATCTAGTTCAGTTGATGCCAACTACATCTAGTTCAGTTGATGCCAACTACATCTAGTTCAGTTGATGCCAACTACATCTAGTTCAGTTGATGCCAACTACATCTAGTTGGACCTTTCGGTCTTTCCAGACAACGTGTTCTTTTTGTCTGCAGGGAAGCATTGGAACCCATGGCGATGGCGAGTGTGACTAGAAAGAGCGGCCCGCCATAAGAAATAAGTTCCTCCTTTCCACAGCACAGTCTGAACAGTTCTATAGATACATATTGCCCACGCCGCATGATTCGACGTGCATTGTTTACTTAAAAGGAAAAGTAACATCACTGCAATTAAAACAAAGTATGCTGTAAAAGCTGAAGGATCAGACGTGTAGTGATGTGTGTGTGTCCACCTCTGGGAGCCTGCGTCCTGGACCAGCTGCCAGCCAAGGCTAAATACCTGGTCTGCCCTACTACAATATTTAGTTTTCAGGATTTCATGTTGCATTTACTCTTCCTAGGGTAAGATCTTTCAACAAAGGGAAATAATAAATAAACACAATACTAACATGTGATTACATCCCTTGCAGAACAATGTCTTCAAGCCAATAACTTAATGACTCGCCGGCACCCACGAACAATATTCAACCCGCACGGCAGAGCACAATTTGTAGAAGACGACCATGTCCCCTTCGTTAGGAGAGGTCAGCCAAACGTTTTCATTTTTTAACAATGTCAAAAGTTTCATTATAAATGTGAAGTCTGTAGAGTGTATGCGAGAAATGATGTGAAAAACGTAGAGAGAAATACCTACATTGGTATGAAACTACTATAAACAAAATGAGACATTTAGAATGTTAATGTTCGTGCCAGTGGTGAATGAGAGAGAGAGAGAGAGAGAGAGAGAGAGAGAGAGAGAGAGAGAGAGAGAGAGAGAGAGAGAGAGAGAGAGAGAGAGAGAGAGAGAGAATGTTTCCAATGGCAGAAATTATGGAAACCCGCAAATTGTCAGTGTGATATTTTCAAAACCCACAAGTTGTCAGTGTGATATTTTCAAAACCCAAAGGTTGTCGGTGTGATATATTCAAAACCCACAAGTTGTCAGTGTGAAATTTTCAAAACCCAAAGGTTGTCGGTGTGATATATTCAAAACCCACAAGTTGTCAGTGTGATATTTTCAAAACCGACAAGTTGTCAGTGTGATATTTTCAAAACACACAAGTTGTAGGTTTGATATTTTCAAAACCCACAAGTTGTCAGTGCGATATTTTCAAAACTCACAAGTTGTAGGTGTGATATTTTCAAAACCCACAAGTTGTAGGTGTGATATTTTCAAAACCCACAAGTTGTCAGTGTGATATTTTCAAAACCCACAAGTTGTCAGTGTGATATTTTCAAAACACACAAGTTGTAGGTGTGATATTTTCAAAACCCACAAGTTGTCAGTGTGATATTTTCAGAACCCACAAGTTTTTGGTGTGATATTTTCAAAAACCCACAAGTTGTAGGTGTGATATTTTCAGAACCCACAAGTTGTAGGTGTGATATTTTCAAAAACCCACAAGTTGTAGGTGTAATATTTTCAAAACCCACAAGTTGTAGGTGCGATATTTTCAAAACCCACAAGTTGTCGGTGTGATATTTTCAAAACTCACAAGTTGTTAGTGTGATATTTTCAAAACCTACAAGTTGTTAGTGTGATATTTTCAAAACCCACAAGTTGTAGGTGCGATATTTTCAAAACCCACAAGTTGTCAGTGTGATATTTCCAAAACCCACAAGTTGTCAGTGTGATATTTCCAAAACCAACAAGTTGTCAGTGTGATATTTTCAAAATCCACAAGTTGTCAGTGTGATATTTTCAAAACCCAAAGGTTGTCGGTGTGATATATTCAAAACCCACAAGTTGTCAGTGTGATATTTTCAAAACCGACAAGTTGTCAGTGTGATATTTTCAAAACACACAAGTTGTAGGTTTGATATTTTCAAAAACCACAAGTTGTCAGTGCGATATTTTCAAAACCCACAAGTTGTATGTAGGTGTGATATTTTCAAAACACACAAGTTGTCAGTGTGATATTTTCAAAACCCACAAGTTGTAGGTGTGATATTTTCAAAACCCACAAGTTGTCAGTGTGATATTTTCAAAACCCACAAGTTGTCAGTGTGATATTTCCAAAACACACAAATTGTCAGTGTGATATTTCCAAAACCCACAAGTTGTCAGTGTGTTATTTCCAAAACCCACAAGTTGTCAGTGTGTTATTTCCAAAACCCACAAGTTGTCAGTGTGATATTTCCAAAACCCACAAGTTGTCAGTGTGATATTTCCAAAACCCATAAGTTGTCAGCGTGATATTTTCAAAACCCACAAGTTGTCAGCGTGATATTTTCAAAACCCACAAGTTGTCAGTGTGATATTTTCAAAACCCACAAGTTGTCAGTGTGATATTTCCAAAACCCACAAGTTGTCAGCGTGATATTTTCAAAACCCACAAGTTGTCAGTGTGATTTTTTCAAAACCCACAAGTTGTCAGTGTGATATTTTCAAAACCCACAAATTGTCAGTGTGATATTTCCAAAACCCACAAGTTGTCAGTGTGATATTTCCAAAACCCACAAGTTGTCAGCATGATATTTCCAAAACCCACAAATTGTCAGCATGATATTTCCAAAACCCAAAAATTGTCAGTGTGATATTTCCTAAAACCCACAAGTTGTCAGTGTGATATTTCCTAAAACCCACAAGTTGTCAGTGTGATATTTCCAAAACCCACAAGTTGTCAGTGTAATATTTCCAAAACCCACAAGTTGTCAGTGTGATATTTCCAAAACCCACAAGTTGTCAGTGTGATATTTCCAAAACCCACAAGTTGTCAGTGTGATATTTCCAAAACCCACAAGTTGTCAGTGTGATATTTCCAAAACCCACAAGTTGTCAGTGTGATATTTCTAAAACCCACAAGTTGTCAGTGTGATATTTCCAAAACCCACAAGTTGTTAGTGTGATATTTCCAATACCCACAAGTTGTCAGTGTGATATTTCCAAAATCCACAAGTTGTCAGCGTGATATTTTCAAAACCCACAAGTTGTCAGCGTGATATTTTCAAAACCCACAAGTTGTCAGTGTGATATTTTCAAAACTCATAAGTTGTCAGTGTGATATTTTCAAAACCCACAAGTTGTAGGTGTGATATTTTCAGAAGAGCATGAAGATCTTCTTCTGTGCGTTTACCGGCTGTAAACTTAGGCGGACATTTGTGGTTACTCATCCATATCTGGACTTTAGGCTTATTCCAGAACCTGTTGTGCTTGTGTCAGCAGCAGCAGCAGCAGCAGCAGTAGAGGAAGAAGAAGAAGGAGAATGAAGACTAGGATGAGAACAGCAACAAGAAGTCTGGTTACCATGTTACGATAACCTGTAACTGCTACCATGTGACATGACACTGAATTGACCCTATGATTAACTCTTTCACACATTTGCAGGTGTCCCAGTCCTACACTTAATATCCACCCCATTCCCCAGGGTCTGGCACACAGTCTACGATAACCTCCAGCACCTGGACGTCGGACTCATCAGGGATTTCTCTAGAATATTCCGCATCTTCCTGTTGTCAGTGCTGTAAGAGGAGACAACTATGATGCGGTTATATACTTCAAGATACAGATATGACCAGATTAACTGCTGGAGTTATCTGTTCATGCAGAATATAAAGATCGATTCTTACCACTTTTAAAACAGAGGTGTCACTTGTTCACATTTCAGTCAACTGAGAGTGATGTAAACACTACTAATCTCTGAATATTTTCTTTTTACTGGTACTGCTTTCAAGTCAGCAGAAACTGATGGTATAGCAGATAGCATGTATGCTTACTAAGATATGGTCTAGGGTCTATACAGTTTGAAAAAAAAAAACAAGTGCACCTTCTCCTTAACTTAGACCACAAGAAAGAAATAAATGAAAATAGTTAAAAAGGAACAAAAATACTTTATTGGTAGGGTCAAAAAATTCCTGGAACTAATACCTAGAGCACAGTAATGTCTAATTATACGTGTATACATTGAATCTGTGAGTTTTATGTAAATCGTTATAACCCGTTTGACTGAAGACAATAGTGTTGCAAATATAGACATCACCTTGACTTACGACCTGTCAGTCAGAACAGAACTCAAGTACAGAACCCTGTATGAAGAACTTTCCAGAACTTCTAATAATTTGTGAAGTTAAAGTGCCTATTTTATCTAGTTTTATTTTTTTGCTTAAGGAACTGTAGTTTGTTTATGAACTGTAAAAAACACTGTCTCTACTACCTGTATTTACAACCTAGTAATCTGTTAAAGGAGAATCCTTAGAATGCCTTGGACAGTCAAAAAGAGCAAGCCAGATGTTTTGAAAGAGCAAAGGCTTGAAGACAACTTATCATAAACATCAGAACGAGACAATCATCATTTTTTGTTCATTGTATAAGTAGAGGGAAACTGGAACATGTTGTGACCACTGGATAGATCTGTGGAAAGAGAGACAGGAAGACAGGGCAATAAGATTCTTGACAGCCTTGTGCAATGGCATGGAGTGCTGTCAACACACAAAATGATACTTGCAGTTGCAGATTACAGATTGTGGGGAGACATGATTGCCTACGCTAGTCCCCAAGGCACTTGATGATGATGAGTGTATGACCCCTGGGGGAGGTACATGAGTCTGAGAGTTTGAGGCTGTTGACTAATGCAGCCACCATGAACAAGCATTTTATTTTGCTATCAACAGAAGAAATCTCCACCCCTAACTGAGGTTTGAACCACATGAGCAAAGTGGGTCTATTTCTGTAGAGAAGTGAGAAGTTGAAGAAAGAAAACTGTCATTTAAAGTGGGAAACTGCTAAGGAATTTCAGATGCCTCCAGTTGTGCTTGTTTTATTGGTCTGGTTTATTATTCTGTGTGTGCATACTGTATGTATGGTTGTATGTGTGCGTATGCATCCTTTATCATTCTGAACGGAGACAACATTAGTCAGAGATGTCACACTTAGAAAAAAACAGATCAATCAAATTCCAAAACTGCTGAATAACTATTACAAATAAATGGTCAGTTCTGTAGAAGAAAATCCTAAATTAGCAGCAAAGAATGGCTGCCAGAAAATAACAAACAGGCAACAGGAAGACTTCTACTATTGACTAGCTTATATTTCTACTTGCGGAAGAAACTGATCTTCAGTGTATTGTATTTGTCCTAACCTGTGTGTATAGAATATTAAATTGCTGAATTCCCTCCATTCATATCATTTACAATTTTGGTCTGTTTACATGCACTGTTTATTTGCTGAAAAATGTATTTTTCCCGAACTGTATCTCCCATACATATTGTGATTTGTTGACATATACCCTTCAATAAGTTTTACAAATTCTGACATAATAAACAGATATCACAACATATAAATTAGTTTCAAACAAAAATTACTAACATAAAATCGAAAGTTGTGTACGTTTATAAAGTACTGTAGCTTCAAATGAGAATGACATGCTACTGGTAAATTCAAGTAACTAGAACTAGTGTTGTGAAAGACAAAAGGTGAAATACCGGCTTGTTTGAAGAAGAAAAAAAAAATAAATGATGAAATATAGATTGATGTTTTAATTAATGATGAAATTTAGACTGGTGTTTAAATCAATGATCAAATACAAATTGGTGTTTAATCAATAAATCAATGATCAAATATAGATTAGTAGTTTTAATCAATGATCAAATATAGATTGGCTGTTTTAATAACTAAATCAAAGATCAAATATAGAATGGTGTTTAATCAATAAATCAACAATCAAATATAGATTAGTAGTTTTAATCAGTTACAGAACTGATATTAGGCACCAACCACAGCAGACACACTACCAGTAAACTTACCCCATTCTGTCTGGTTGTTGATAAATTAAAATAAGTTTCTAGCTGTGGTAATGTCTGTGAGTGACCCCATTCTGTCTGGTTGTTGATAAATTAAAATAAGTTTCTAGCTGTGGTAATGTCTGTGAGTGACCCCATTCTGTCTGGTTGTTGATAAATTAAAATAAGTTTCTAGCTGTGGTAATGTCTGTGAGTGACCCCATTCTGTCTGGTCATTGATAACCTGAAATAAGTTTCTAGCTGTGGTAATGTCTGTGAGTGACCCCATTCTGTCTGGTCATTGATAACCTGAAATAAGTTTCTAGCTGTGGTAATGTCTGTGAGTGACCCCATTCTGTCTGGTCATTGATAACCTGAAATAAGTTTCTAGCTGTGGTAATGTCTGTGACTGACCCCATTCTGTCTGGTCATTGATAACCTGAAATAAGTTTCTAGCTGTGGTAATGTCTGTGAGTGACCCCATTCTGTCTGGTCATTGATAACCTGAAATAAGATTTTCTAGCTGTGGTAATGTCTGTGAGTGACCCCATTCTGTCTGGTCATTGATAACCTGAAATAAGTTTCTAGCTGTGGTAATGTCTGTGACTGACCCCATTCTGTCTGGTCATTGATAACCTGAAATAAGTTTCTAGCTGTGGTAATGTCTGTGAGTGACCCCATTCTGTCTGGTCATTGATAACCTGAAATAAGTTTCTAGCTGTGGTAATGTCTGTGAGTGACCCCATTCTGTCTGGTCATTGATAACCTGAAATAAGTTTCTAGCTGTGGTAATATCTGTGACTGACCCCATTCTGTCTGGTCATTGATAACCTGAAATAAGTTTCTAGCTGTGGTAATGTCTGTGAGTGACCCCATTCTGTCTGGTCATTGATAACCTGAAATAAGTTTCTAGCTGTGGTAATGTCTGTGACTGACCCCATTCTGTCTGGTCATTGATAACCTGAAATAAGTTTCTAGCTGTGGTAATGTCTGTGACTGACCCCATTCTGTCTGGTCATACATAACTTGAAATAAGTTTCTAGCTGTGCTAATGTCTGTGACTGACCCCATTCTGTCTGGTCATTGATAACCTGAAATAAGTTTCTAGCTGTGGTAATGTCTGTGAGTGACTCCATTCTGTCTGGTCATTGATAACCTGAAATAAGTTTCTAGCTGTGGTAATGTCTGTGAGTGACCCCATTCTGTCTGGTCGTTGATAACCTGAAACAAGTTTCTAGCTGTGGTAATGTCTGTGAGTGACCCCATTCTGTCTTGTCGTTGATAACCTGAAACAAGCTTCTAGCCGTGGTAATAACTGTGACTGACCCCATTCTGTCTGGTCGTACATTACATCAAACCCATTTCTAGCCGTGGTAATGTCTGTGACTGACCCCATTCTGTCTGGTCGTACATAACATGAAACATGTTTCTAGCCATGGTAATGTCTGTGACTGAGTGATTTCACTGATAACCTGGCCAGCAAGAGAATGTCTCAAGTGTATGTGTATAACTGTATCACCAGTCTGGAGTAATTAAAATATGACTACACACAGCAACCAGTGTCTTATGTTGTATCATCATCATTTTAGAGACGGCTAACAGTCTTTTTATCTTTTACATTCTATAGACTACAATCCCTCCAAAATCATGGATGGAATCCAGTTCAACACCTTTGGCCTCCACCACCAGCATTCAACGTAGCGTTTCTCATGGAAACTCTTCTCAATCCATCTGTGTCCCATTGTAGAGCCTCTTTAGTGATTGTGTGTTTGCTTCTCCTCAGATGTGCCCAGTATATGACTGTCTGCTGTTTTTGTTCAAACAGTCACGTTACTCAGCTCATAGTTATGTTGACAGGTAACATCGTTTTTGTAGTTATGTTGACAGGTAACATGGTTTTTGTAGTTATGTTGACACATAACACCGTGTTTGTAGTTATGTTGACAAGTAACATCGTGTTTGTAGTTATGCTGACAAGTAACATCATGTTTGTAGTTATGCTGACAAGTAACATCGTGTTTGTAGTTATGCTGACAAGTAACATCTTGTAGTTACACAGTGCAGACCACTTAAGGCTATGTCAGCTGTGGCAAATTTCTGTTGTGAAGAACAATGTTTATCCCCAGCAATCTTTCTTGCTTAAACTCAGATTTGGATAAGAGGAATTTCTGAAGAGAAGAACCATTTCTGGGTAAGTAGTTCTCCTTATCAGGTCTGCACTGAATTAACAGGATATGTCATTTCATTGTGGTCAAACAGATCTAATATTATTTTTCTGAAAGTTTATGCCATGTAGTATTGGTAATCACATCTATCCACAGCCTTCTGTCTCACATACTTTTCATCACTTCTGACACAGATGTTATTCAATGCCATGATGTCAAACTGCCCAGCATCTCTTCTCTCAGTATCCCTCTATATAGTCTTTTCCACATCCAACCGTCATGATCTAGTCAAGTTTTATCCTTCTGATGATGTGACCACAGAAGGTAATGTCTCCTTTAGTTCAGGCAAATCCAGCAGTGACCCCAGAGTTGATTGCAGCTGTTCAGCAGTGGCCCCAGAGTTGATTTCTGAAGAGAAGAACAGCAGTTGCCCCAGCAGCTGCAGCTGTTCAGCAGTGGCCCCAGAGTTGATTGCAGCAGATTTGTGCAGTATCATTGTCAGCAGCTTCTGACGCCAGAGTTGATTGCAGCTGCATTCAGCAGTGGCCCCAGAGTTGATTGCAGCTGTTCAGCAGTGACCCCAGAGTTGATTGCAGCTGTTCAGCAGTGACGCCAGAGTTGATTGCAGCTGTTCAGCAGTGACCCCAGAGTTGATTGCAGCTGTTCAGCAGTGGCCCCAGAGTTGATTGCAGCTGTTCAGCAGTGGCCCCAGAGTTGATTGCAGCTGTTCAGCAGTGACCCCAGAGTTGATTGCAGCTGTTCAGCAGTGACGCCAGAGTTGATTGCAGCTGTTCAGCAGTGACGCCAGAGTTGATTGCAGCTGTTCAGCAGTGGCCCCAGAGTTGATTGCAGCTGTTCAGCAGTGACGCCAGAGTTGATTGCAGCTGTTCAGCAGTGACCCCAGAGTTGATTGCAGCTGTTCTGAGACTTCCTACTCGACTGGTAAACTTGGACTAACAGGCAGGCATCAATATTTGGGACCTTCATATACAGATCAATTTAAGTTTTGCCTCTTCACTGATTTAAAAAAGACCCAGATAATAAAAATGCTGCTCCTCTTTGGTGCATGCCAAAAGTGGGATGGCCATCTTTAACTTCATAAGGATGACACTCCGTTTGCACTGAGATTTCATGCATTTAACACTCTTGAACATACTCAACAACAATATCGACATGTTACAAAATAATGGCGGTTACTCAAATTTCCATCCTACTTAAGTTTTTCAATTGAAGTCTCCTCGTATACACTAGAGCTGAATATGAACTTTCCACATGACACATCTAAACATCACAGAAAATACACTAGACCTGAACATGAACTTTTCATGCTGAACATTCAAACACTGCCAAAATTAATTGAAATTTCTAGGAAAACATAAAACATGTTCTGATTTACAAATGCTTCTACTTCAGACAATTCTGTTTGTGTGGCCAAACATTTTGAAAGAACCACAACAGAGCAAACATAGAGCTAGCCTCTCTGTTCACATCTTCATCGAAAATCAGCTGCCGAGCCTCAGTAACTGTCATCTCCACCACCTCAATGAGCTCCCCTTCACTTGCGAGTCCTCCCCCTTTGCTAACACGCATGGCATCTGTCACTTCAGCGTAGTACAGGTTGACTACAGCTCCACTTGTGCCTGTACCATTCCTGTGGACAACAGGCGATGCCAGCGTCATCAATCAGATTTAAGACCGTGATTGGAAAAGGAAAATTAAAACAATAATAACAAGAAACAAATGAAAGCTGGCTGAGATCTGTTTGACATAAATGATGAATATGCAACTAGGAACAATCATCGTTCCTGTGACAACATAAGGGTGTCTTTTTCTTCTTCTTATTCTTCGTTCACTGGCTGTAAGCTCCAGTGGAAAGTCCTGCGTTCTTCGTCCATTTGGACTTTGGTTTTTGTACCAGGGCCTGAGTTGTGTGTGCGCATCCATTTCACTGGTTTATCTCTGAGAAGCTGGTTGTTATTTGCCGCTCGGGCAGGTGCACTCGACTTCAAAGGAAGTTCCCCCATTAGTCGACTCCTATGACATGCTTGTAGGGGTGGCAATGGGTCCATTCTTTTTCCCTCCACAATGGGGCCCCGGAACCCACACATGGAACGTAAGAATGTGAGATTAGGATCACTTTATAATTTCTAAAGAAGAAAACTGTTTTTTTTTTAACTTTAATATTAGAGATTAATTCTGCAAATAAGGATGAAGAATACACTGACAATCCACAAGGTTTAAAAATCATAGAAGGCACACATAACCAGTATCATGTCTCTGAACCTGAAATCCTTTAGTAATTTTAAATGCAGCACTGATGTGTTTGGTTTCTGGTAGAAAAGGCAGAGATCAACCAGCATGAAGGTGGAGACAGGATAAGAGAGAAACAGTGAGCATCCAACTATATAAGGCAGGGATCAACCAGCATGAAGGTGGAGACAGGATAAGAGAGACACAGTGAGTACACACTACATGAGGCAGGGATCAACCAGCATGAAGCATGTGTTGGACAGGATAAGAGAGACACAGTGAGTACGCACTACATAAGGCAGGGATCAACCAGCATGAAGGTGGAGACAGGATAAGAGAGACACAGTGAGTACACACTACATGAGGCAGGGATCAACCAGCATGAAGGTGGAGACAGGATAAGAGAGACACAGTGAGTACACACTACATAAGGCAGGGATCAACCAGCATGAAGGTGGAGACAGGATAAGAGAGACACAGTGAGCATCAAACTACATGAGGCAGGGATCAACCAGCATGAAGGTGGAGACAGGATAAGAGAGACACAGTGAGCATCAAACTACATGAGGCAGGGATCAACCAGCATGAAGGTGGAGACAGGATAAGAGAGACACAGTGAGCACCCAACTACATGAAGCAGGGATCAACCAGCATGAAGATGGAGACAGGATAAGAGAGACACAGTGAGTATCCAACTAAATGAAGCAGGGATCAACCAGCATGAAGATGGAGACAGGATAAGAGAGACACAGTGAGCACCCAACTACATGAGGCAGGGATCAACCAGCATGAAGGTGGAGACAGGATATTTTTTCGTACACTTTAAGCACAGACCCCATGTCTTTGGCAGGAGGGAGCTGCCATGGTGTAGGTGGATCCGAAGGTCATAGGTTCGAATTCAAAATGAGCAAGAAATTTGTTTTAATGACCATGACTTCTAGTTCAACCGAGACTTCAATGGGTACCAGATAAAGTCCTGGGAAGTAAAGGCTGCCAGTGTGACGTTGGCCACATTACCCAACAAGTGCAGATCATTCTATCAAATACAGTTCTAACACAATTGGCCCAATACGCCTGGAGGCATCCAAAAGGGTCCTTTTACATCAGGGCATCAACATTCTGGAAAAAAAAAACCTGCCACACAATCATTATTGTGAACTGACTCAAACCCAGCAAATCAGCAATGTATAAATATATCACCTGAACAATTCAGTATTTATTTAGGCAATGCTAACACTGCCAACCAACAGGTGATCTTCAGGTAGACAGTGCTAACACTGCCAACCAAACAACATGTGATCTTCAGGTAGACAGTGCTAACACTGCCAAACAACATGTGATCTTCAGGTAGACAGTGCTAACACTGCCAACCAACATGTGATCTTCAGGTAGACAGTGCTAACACTGCCAACCAACATGTGATCTTCAGGTAGACAGTGCTAACACTGCCAACCAACAGGTGATCTTCAGGTAGACAGTGCTAACACTGTCAACCAAACAACATGTGATCTTCAGGTAGACAGTGCTAACACTGCCAACCAACATGTGATCTTCAGGTAGACAGTGCTAACACTGCCAACCAACATGTGATCTTCAGGTAGACAGTGCTAACACTGCCAACCAACCAACATGTGATCTTCAGGTAGACAGTGCTAACACTGCCAACCAAACAACATGTGATCTTCAGGTAGACAGTGCTAACACTGCCAACCAACATGTGATCTTCAGGTAGACAGTGCTAACACTGCCAACCAACATGTGATCTTCAGGTAGACAGTGCTAACACTGCCAACCAACAGGTGATCTTCAGGTAGACAGTGCTAACACTGCCAACCAACAGGTGATCTTCAGGTAGACAGTGCTAACACTGCCAACCAACATGTGATCTTCAGGTAGACAGTGCTAACACTGCCAAACAACAGGTGATCTTCAGGTAGACAGTGCTAACACTGCCAACCAAACAACATGTGATCTTCAGGTAGACAGTGCTAACACTGCCAACCAACATGTGATCTTCAGGTAGACAGTGCTAACACTGCCAACCAACAGGTGATCTTCAGGTAGACAGTGCTAACACTGCCAACCAAACAACATGTGATCTTCAGGTAGACAGTGCTAACACTGCCAACCAACATGTGATCTTCAGGTAGACAGTGCTAACACTGCCAACCAACATGTGATCTTCAGGTAGACAGTGCTAACACTGTCAACCAACATGTGATCTTCAGGTAGACAGTGCTAACACTGCCAACCAAACAACATGTGATCTTCAGGTAGACAGTGCTAACACTGCCAACCAACATGTGATCTTCAGGTAGACAGTGCTAACACTGCCAACCAACAGGTGATCTTCAGGTAGACAGTGCTAACACTGCCAACCAACATGTGATCTTCAGGTAGACAGTGCTAACACTGCCAACCAACATGTGATCTTCAGGTAGACAGTGCTAACACTGCCAACCAAACAACATGTGATCTTCAGGTAGACAGTGCTAACACTGCCAACCAACAGGTGATCTTCAGGTAGACAGTGCTAACACTGCCAACGAAACAACATGTAATCTTCAGGTAGACAGTGCTAACACTGCCAACCAACATGTGATCTTCAGGTAGACAGTGCTAACACTGCCAACCAAACAACATGTGATCTTCAGGTAGACAGTGCTAACACTGCCAACCAACAGGTGATCTTCAGGTAGACAGTGCTAACACTGCCAATGAAACAACATGTGATCTTCAGGCAGACAGTGCTAACACACCCATCCAAAAGATGAAATCTTCAGGCAGACAGTACTAACACTGCCATCTGAAAGATGTGATCTTCATACCGACAGGGTAAAATTCTCACATGAAAGATGCGATCTTCAAGTAGACAGTGGTAACATTCCCACCTGAAAGATGTGATCTTCAGGTAGAAAGTGCTAACATTCCCACCTGAAAAATGTGATCTTTGGATAGACAGTGCTAACAGTGTCAACCAAACAACATGTGATCTTCAGGTAGAACAATAGTACATTCCTACCTGAATGATGTGATCTTTAGCAGCTTGTTTTCTGGAACATCATAGCCACACTCCTGCAGGACCTCAGCTTGAGCCACTTGTGTCAGAGCTGCATCCTTGTCCACAATGCCTGCACACAGCTCAATGGTTATCCCCAGAGAAGGCGGGAAATGTCTTGTGTTTATAACCTCCTCTCCGTTAACCTTCTTTGCTTCTGCATTCTGGATGTAGACAGCTGCAAAGGTATGAAAATAAAAGCTTATTTTCAGGTAAAACAGGGCATCAGTGATTTCTTTTCAAATTTAGCCATTTACAGTGAATTCTTTTCAAATTTGACCATTTACAGTGGGTTTTTTTAAAATTTGACTAATTACTATCACCACCACCATAATCACCGGTTGTATGCTACCATACCCATCAAGTGTTTGGGTTAATAAAATTACATGTCTAGGGTGGTGGGTTCAAATCTGCATAGGGCCAAACATTTTTCCAAAAATGACTTGACACAGCCTTGTGAGTATCTTGTTGAGTATGTTTTTCTTGCCTAGCTTTTCCTCATTCTCCAGTATTTTACCTTTGAGTACACTTTATGATATTTCTCTATGCTCTAGGGTATGACCAAACTGTGACAGTCATCATTTTGTTTATTACTTTAAATTTTTTTTTTTTTTATATATATATTTTACATAAATTTTCCATTACCTACTAAATACATGATAAACAAAAACTGATTTATTGAAATATAAGTGAAATTTAGTTAACCAACACTACTTTCAATAAAGAAAAAATATATAATTTATTTGGATGTGGATGTCGAAGCACTAGCTGGCTAAAACTTTATAAACAACATTTTTAACAAAGATTTCATTAGAATATTTAGTTTGTACTACCATGAAAATCCTTCAGCTGCAAATCAAACCAATCACAAACAAGTTTACAAGAGCATTAGGGCCTATGATCTATTTTAAGATTAAGAGAAAAAAAGGAAGAAGATGAACGATGAGAAGAAGAGGAAGTATTCTACTTGGCTGTTGTTGCATGAAGATGAATAGTATTAAATTGTTGCTGCAAGAGTTTCATGCAGTATATATTTTTCAAGTATGGGGTTACGGTTTTAATCAGTGATCCTTCATAAAGACATTTAACATGAATGAGATGATAAAAAAATTTTGCCAATTTCAAAAACATGACAGATAAGAACATCTGAAACTACCTGGCCCGAACTGTTTTACAAACACAAAAACATGACAGATAAGAACATCTGAAACTACCTGGCCGGAACTGTTTTACAAACACAAAAACATGACAGATAAGAACATCTGAAACTACCTGACCGGAACTGTTTTACAAACACAAAAACATGACAGGTAAGAACATCTGAAACTACCTGGCCGGAACTGTTTTACAAACACAAAAACATGACAGATAAGAACATCTGAAACTACCTGGCTGGAACTGTTTTACAAACACAAAAACATGACGGATAAGAACATGTGAAACTACCTGGCTGGAACTGTTTTACAAACACAAAAACATGACAGATAAGAACATGTGAAACTACCTGGCTGGAACTGTTTTACAAACACAAAAACATGACAGATAAAAACATCTGAAACTACCTGGCCGGAACTGTTTTACAAACACAAAAACATGACAGATAAGAACATCTGAAACTACCTGGCCGGAACTGTTTGACAAACACAAAAACATGACAGATAAGAACATCTGAAACTACCTGGCCGGAACTGTTTTACAAACACAAAAACATGACAGATAAGAAAATCTGAAACTACCTGGCCGGAACTGTTTTACAAACACAAAAACATGACAGATAAGAACATCTGAAACTACCTGGCCGGAACTGTTTTACAAACACAAAAACATGACAGATAAGAACATCTGAAACTACCTGGCTGGAACTGTTTTACAAACACTAAAACATGACAGATAAGAACATCTGAAACTACCTGGCCGGAATTGTTTGACAAACACAAAAACATGACAGATAAAAACATCTGAAACTACCTGGCCGGAACTGTTTTACAAACACAAAAACATGACAGATAAGAACATCTGAAACTACCTGGCCGGAACTGTTTTACAAACACAAAAACATGACAGATAAGAACATCTGAAACTACCTGGATGGAACTGTTTTACAAACACTAAAACATGACAGATAAGAACATCTGAAACTACCTGGCCGGAATTGTTTGACAAACACAAAAACATGACAGATAAAAACATCTGAAACTACCTGGCCGGAACTGTTTTACAAACACAAAAACATGACAGATAAGAACATCTGAAACTACCTGGCCGGAACTGTTTGACAAACACAAAAACATGACAGATAAGAACATCTGAAACTACCTGGCCGGAACTGTTTTACAAACACAAAAACATGACAGATAAGAAAATCTGAAACTACCTGGCCGGAACTGTTTTACAAACACAAAAACATGACAGATAAGAACATCTGAAACTACCTGGCCGGAACTGTTTTACAAACACAAAAACATGACAGATAAGAACATCTGAAACTACCTGGCTGGAACTGTTTTACAAACACTAAAACATGACAGATAAGAACATCTGAAACTACCTGGCCGGAATTGTTTGACAAACACAAAAACATGACAGATAAGAACATGTGAAACTACCTGGCCGGAACTGTTTTACAAACACAAAAACATGACAGATAAGAACATGTGAAACTACCTGGCCGGAACTGTTTTACAAACACAAAAACATGACAGATATGAACATCTGAAACTACCTGGCCGGAACTGTTTTACAAACACAAAAACATCCCTGGAAGTGTTGAACAGTAGGATGGCCACACTGAAATCAAATATTCAAGTTGTGTAAATAAAGCAGGCTATTAACACAGCTGGCTCACATGGATAATTGCACAATTGACATTTGTGCATGAAAATATCAACAGCCAGTGCTGTTGATTCATCTTAAAGACCAGAGAGTCAATATCTGGGATTATTAACTGGAAGCCAGAAAGTGTGGTTTTCATAAACTTGATTAATTTTACCATTAGTCATACTTTTTATGCGACGTCGGTGGCTTAGGCGTTGCAAGTCCGACTCGTAATTCCATGTACCGCAATCGAAACCCAGTGCTGGCTGCGTGGAATTTTATTCTGGTATAGGGCGTCGCAGGTCGACCCAGCCTAAAATGGGTATCAGGATGGCTGTCCTTGGGAAGTAGAGATGGTCGGTGTAATGCTGACCACATTACCCACCTAGTGCAAATTGTCTGAAAAATGCTGATGGTCTGAAAAAATATTGGCGCTTTTCCCATATCCCCGATGCGCCTAAAAGCGTGAGAAGAGATCTTTATTAAAAAAAAAAAAAAAAAAAAAACTTTTTACATGTTCTGTTTATGTTATTTTATGTTATCCCAGATAGCATCACTGTACTGGGCATTATATTGCTGGGTCAATTCTTCTGATACAGCAGCCACTCCAAGGTTACTCTACTGATTATTCCCGTCAGAAGCTGGCTTTAGTATCTCCTGTCTAGGTATAGTATCTCCTGTCTAGGTATAGTATCTCCTGTCTAGGTATAGTATCTCCTGTCTAGGTATAGCATCTCCTGTCTAGGTATAGCATCTCCTGTCTAGGTATAGCATCTCCTGTCTAGGTATAGTATCTCCTGTCTAGGTATAGTAGCTCCTGTCTAGGTATAGTAGCTCCTGTCTAGGTATAGCATCTCCTGTCTAGGTATAGCATCTCCTGTCTAGGTATAGCATCTCCTGTCTAGGTATAGCATCTCCTGTCTAGGTATAGCATCTCCTGTCTAGGTATAGCATCTCCTGTCTAGGTATAGCATCTCCTGTCTAGGTATAGCATCTCCTGTCTAGGTATAGCATCTCCTGTCTAGGTATAGTATCTCCTGTCTAGGTATAGCATCTCCTGTCTAGGTATAGCATCTTCTGTCTAGGTATAGTATCTCCTGTCTAGGTATAGCATCTCCTGTCTAGGCTATGAAGATGGCACAGATGAGCTTTACCAAGCTTTACTTCCAGGTCACACAATCGTGTTAGCATCAGTGATTAATCACTATCCGCCAGCCTAGTCAGTACAGTATTGATGATATCAGCTCTTTCCAAGTTTCTTCCCGTACGCATTAGGGAATTAATTGCTAGCCGGTCTGCTTATTCATTACCATTAATGTTTTGCCAGCATGCCTAAGTGTGTATCACCCAGGTGACAGAGGTTAAGTGTCACTTCCAAATGCTTTCTATACATTCAGAGCCCATACTATCTATGGCTTTTTTTCTGAAGCTTTTTCAAGGAGTCTAATACAATTACCGCATGTGTGGTCAACCCATGCAAGTGCTTTTGAAGCAGCGGCTAACTGCAGGGTCATGCTTGACATAGTTACCTGGTCAGCAACACTATCCTCTTTTTACTGTTTTTCCCATCCTTTGGGCTGTGTATGCCCATGCTGACCTTGACCCATGCTTCACAGACCTGTCTATGTAGATGAAGACCCCAGTGCTATGACTACTACCTTAGACATGTCACACTCCTACTGGTCTATCTGTTTAGTCATTTCCGTGACTAATCTTGTCTAGGTCACGTAACCGTTGGATTAAATTTTCAGCCTCAGTAATCCAGGAGATATCTTTTGAGATGCACCGCTTTTATATAATTATGTGGTGGGGGGTTAATGTCTGCTGATACCCTTGTGTACGCCTCAACCTGTGCAACGCTGAAACTGGAGGCCATCATTGGTATACCCAAGACAACTTGCACAGTGTGACACTAAGTGTCTTTTGTGCAACCGAGTCTTAGGGCCTCATTTTGTACTTAGTCCAGTCTTTCTAGCTGGGTTCTGCTGATAGTGAGGAGGCCTGTACCGTAGTTTAGAACACTTAGCACAAGTTTCATTTACAACAATGTATAATATTTAAAATTTAATTTTGAAAGGTCATCATCATCATCATTTAGTAGGTCTTTTGCAAAACATTGCTCCCATCACGGTCTGCCTGAAAGGTCATGTAAATTATAACAAAACAACAAATAGCTCATTTCACAATGTATCTATCTATGTATGACAGCTCAAAGAGACCACACACACAATTCAGCATTAGAATAAACACAATCCTACAATTGTTATAGCTTGATACATTCTGGGATGTTCTATTAATACATTGTGTGATTCGTTTGTTTTATTGACTTTCTTAAACCTTAAACCTTTTTGATTACTTAATTAGAGTTAACTGGTTGTTAACTTAGGCAGAAGATTCCGGTTGTTTGTCCATTCTAGACTTTGGCATTTTCCACAACTTTAATTGTACGTGCACATCCATTTTACAGATCTGTTTATTTAAATGCAGGTTGTTGGTTCCTCACCTCTCAGGCAGGTGCGCTCCGACTTTGGAGGGAAAATCCTTAGTTAGTTACCTTTTACAACATGCCAGAGAGGGAGGTAGTAGGTCAATTCTCTCACCCCCCCCCCCCTTTCCCCACCACCACCACCACCACCACACCACACCAAATGTGGCCACATGGAAAACGAATGATTTTTCCACTTTCTTTTGTCTTTTAATCAGCAAAATATCTAATCAAATTATTTTCTTCATCAATACTCCACTCCTCCCCCCCACCCCCCCCCCCCCCCCCCCCCCCCCCCCCCCCCCCCCCCCCCCCCCCCCCCAGTGCCTAGGTGTTCAAAGAGACATCAGTTATAACCTCCTACATTGCCAACAGCATACCCAGCGTCACAGAGGAATGTGATGTCAAGATTTAATATGGCTGACAGGTTGTTGTATAAAGTAAATTCACTCACTCCAGAATGTTCAGTGATGCACTCCCACTTTCTCTTCTTACCATTCTGAATCATTTGGGAACATAAATCAGGAATACATCAGACCAACCAGTTACACAAATTTCTAAGAGACAAATACTTAATCACTAATAACACAGTAATAAAATGCTTTTATACTTGATTAAATTGTGTCGAGTAATAGTTTGTGAATAAGCTCTGGAATAACTAATGATACAGAATTGTTAACGGATGTTAACATACAATAAGGTAAAAACAGTAGATCCTAAACAACCTGGGTGATGGGGTGGGCTCAGTGGCATAAGCCTTGTTTAAGTGCATATATAATATATATATATATATATAGAGAGAGAGAGAGAGAGAGAGAGAGAGAGAGAGAGAGAGAGATACGGTAGACACCAGGGTGTAGCAGCTAGATGCTCGCCTGCAGATCGGAAAATCATGGGTTTGGATCCTGATGGGGCCAGACTTTTGTCAAAAATGATCTTGGCTCCCAGATCGACCCAGCCTTGAGTGGCTCTCAGATCGACCCAGCCTTGATTGGCTCCCAGATCGACCCAGCCTTGAGTGGCTCCCAGATCGACCCAGCCTTGAGTGGCTCCCAGATCGACCCAGCCTTCAGTGGCTCCCAGGTCGACCCAGCCTTGAGTGGCTCCCAGATCGACAGCCTTGAGTGGCTCCCAGATCGACCCAGCCTTGATTGGCTCCCAGATCGACCCAGCCTTGAGTGGCTCCCAGATCAACCCAGCCTTGAGTGGCTCCCAGATCGACCCAGCCTTGAGTGGCTCCCAGATTGACCCAGCCTTGAGTGGCTCCCAGATCGACCCAGCCTTGAGTGGCTCCCAGATCGACCCAGCCTTCAGTGGCTCCCAGATCGACCCAGCCTTCAGTGGGTAGCGGGTGCAGTCCTGGGAAGTAAAGGCGGCCGGTGTGATGCTGACCACATCACCCAGTAAGTGCCGACTGGTCTATAAAATATAGGTCTAGCCCTATATGCCTAATATGCCTGAAAGCGTGGAAAAGTGTTTTACTTTACTCGATATATTTGTGATACATGCTGAATGGAAAGTCATGATACTAATATAATTGAAATAATATGAAATTTAACAGCAAATACTTAAAAAGAGAACTTCTTCAAAGGTTGGAGACGGAAGGTAGGGGGATGGGAGGGGGAAGGGAGAGAGGGAGGCACCTAGTCCTCAAACACAACTACTAGTCCTCAAACACAACTACTAGTCCCCAAACACAACTACTAGTCCCCAAACACCACTACTAATCCCCAAACACAACTACTAGTCCCCAAACACCACTACTAGTCCCCAAACACAACTACTAGTCCTCAAACACAACTACTAGTCCTCAAACACAACTACTAGTCCCCAAACACAACTACTAGTCCTCAAACACAACTACTAGTCCCCAAACACAACTACTAGTCCTCAAACACAACTACTAGTCCCCAAACACAACTACTAGTCCTCAAACACAACTAACTCAAACAGCCAGAGCCTCCAGGTTCCAGCATCTATGGGCTGATTGTCTGTAAACAAACAGTGATGATGAAATTAAGCTCAGGGAAGAAGAGCTGTGATATTAATGACTGCACAGGGGCATCATACATCCTATATACAGGCTTATGTATATGTGAGAGTATGCATGCATGTGTGTGGTTATTTGTGGGTATGTGAGATTGTGCACGCATGGTTGTATGCATCTATAAATGTGTGCAGGTCAGATGGCTGTGAGCGTGTGTCTGTGTATGTGTGACCCAACTCCATACCTTGAGACATTCTGTGTATGTGTGACCCAACTCCATACCTTGAGACATTCTGTGTATGTGTGACCCAACTCCATACCTTGAGACATTCTGTGTATGTGTGACCCAACTCCATACCTTGAGACATTCTGTGTATGTGTGACCCAACTCCATAGTTTTGAGACATTCTGTGTATGTGTCACCCCAACTCCATACTTGAGACATTCTGTGTATGTGTGACCCAACTCCATACCTTGAGACATTCTGTGTATGTGTGACCCAACTCATACCTTGAGACATCTGTCTGTGTATGTGTGACCCATTTTTTCCATACCTTGAGACATTCTGTAACCGTCTGTGTGACCCAACTCCATACCTTGAGACTTTCTGTGTATGTCTGTGACCCAACTCCATACCTTGAGACATTCTGTGTATGTGTGACCCAGGTCCATACCTTGAGACATTCTGTGTATGTGTGACCCCACTCCATACCTTGAGACATTCTGTGTATGTGTGACCCCACTCCATACCTTGAGACATTCTGTGGTATGTGTGACCTAACTCCATAGTGGTTTGTCTTGAGGACATTCTGTGTAGGGTGTGTGACCCCACTCCATACCTTGAGACATTCTGTGTATGTGTGACCCAACTCCATACCTTGAGACATTCTGTGTATGTGCCACTCCATACCTTTGAGACATTCTGTGTATGTGTGACCCCACTCCATACCTTGAGGTGTGGTTCTGTGTGTGTGTGACCAGGTGTGGTCCATACCCTTGAGACATTCAGTACATGATGTTAACCTGATATTTTAATCCACAGTGGTTTTCACCCTGAGGTGGACAAGAAAGTTTTATGGATGTGTGTGTGTGTGTGTTGGGGGGGGGGGGGGGGGTGTCATCAAGCAAATTTGAAATTGAGTACATCTGTTTGTGTAATAATCTGTTATATTGACATTTTTTAAAACTCTCCTTATAAACAAAAGTATATTTTTAAACCGTTTATAAAACAAAAAGCCATGTTATGTTGACACTTTGATTTATGTGGATATTTTCTCTCCAAGTTCTTGTTACTAGTGCAACAGATTTTGGTCTATTTTTAATGGGTTTTTTTTTAAAGTCAGGGTCAGATATTCAAGGTGTGGTGCTAGTGGTCTTGTCAGATATTCAAGGTGTGGTGCTAGTAGTCTTGTCATATATTCAAGGTGTGGTGCTAGTGGTCTTGTCATATATTTAAGGTGTGGTGCTAGTGGTCTTGTCATATATTCAAGGTGTGGTGCTAGTGGTCTTGTCATATATTCAAGGTGTGGTGCTAGTGGTCTTGTCATATATTCAAGGTGTGGTGCTAGTGGGTCAAGGTGTGGTGTCTTGTCATATATTCAAGGTGTGGTGCTAGTGGTCTTGTCAGATATTCAAGGTGTGGTGCTAGTGGTCTTGTCATATATTCAAGGTGTGGTGCTAGTGGTCTTGTCATATATTCAAGGTGTGGTGCTAGTGGTCTTGTCATATATTCAAGTGTGTGGTCTCATGTCTAGTGCTAGTGTCTTGTCATATATTCAAGGTGTGGTGCTAGTGGTCTTGTCAGATATTCAAGGTGTGGTGCTAGTGGTCTTGTCATATATTCAAGGTGTGGTGCTAGTGGTCTTGTCATATATTCAAGGTGTGGTGCTAGTGGTCTTGTCATATATTCAAGGTGTGGTGCTAGTGGTCTTGTCAAGGTGTGGTGCTAGTGGTCTTGTCATATATTCAAGGTGTGGTGCTAGTGGTCTTGTCATATATTCAAGGTGTGGTGCTAGTGGTCTTGTCAGATATTCAAGGTGTGGTGCTAGTGGTCTTGTCATATATTCAAGGTGTGGTGCTAGTGGTCTTGTCATATATTCAAGGTGTGTTGCTAGTGGTCTTGTCATATATTCAAGGTGTGGTGCTAGTGGTCTTGTCATATATTCAAGGTGTGGTGCTAGTGGTCTTGTCATATATTCAAGGTGTGGTGCTAGTGGTCTTGTCATATATTCAAGGTGTGGTGCTAGTGGTCTCATCAGATATTCAAGGTGTGGTGCTAGTGGTCTTGTCAAATATTCAAGGTGTGGTGCTAGTGGTCTTGTCATATATTCAAGGTGTGGTGCTAGTGGTCTTGTCAGGGTGTGGTGCTAGTGGTCTTGTCATATATTCAAGGTGTGGTGCTAGTGGTCTTGTCATATATTCAAGGTGTGGTGCTAGTGGTTTTGTCAGGGTGTGGTGCTAGTGGTCTTGTCATATATTCAAGGTGTGGTGCTAGTGGTCTTGTCATATATTCAAGGTGTGGTGCTAGTGGTCTTGTCATATATTCAAGGTGTGGTGCTAGTGGTCTTGTCATATATTCAAGGTGTGGTGCTAGTGGTCTTGTCAGGGTGTGGTGCTAGTGGTCTTGTCATATATTCAAGGTGTGGTGCTAGTGGTCTTGTCATATATTCAAGGTGTGGTGCTAGTGGTCTTGTCATATATTCAAGGTGTGGTGCTAGTGGTCTTGTCATATATTCAAGGGTGTGGTGCTAGTGGTCTTGTCATATATTCAAGGTGTGGTGCTAGTGGTCTTGTCATATATTCAAGGTGTGGTGCTAGTGGTCTTGTCAGGGTGTGGTGCTAGTGGTCTTGTCATATATTCAAGGTGTGGTGTTAGTGGTCTCATCAGATATTCAAGGTGTGGTGCTAGTGGTCTCATCAGATATTCAAGGTGTGGTGCTAGTGGTCTTGTCATATATTCAAGGTGTGGTGCTAGTGGTCTTGTCATATATTCAAGGTGTGGTGCTAGTGGTCTTGTCATATATTCAAGGTGTGGTGCTAGTGGTCTTGTCATATATTCAAGGTGTGGTGCTAGTGGTCTCATCAGATATTCAAGGTGTGGTGCTAGTGGTCTCATCAGATATTCAAGGTGTGGTGCTAGTGGTCTCATCAGATATTCAAGGTGTGGTGCTAGTGGTCTCATCAGATATTCAAGGTGTGGTGCTAGTGGTCTCATCAGATATTCAAGGTGTGGTGCTAGTGGTCTCATCAGATATTCAAGGTGTGGTGCTAGTGGTCTTGTCATATATTCAAGGTGTGGTGCTAGTGGTCTTGTCATATATTCAAGGTGTGGTGTTAGTGGTCTTGTCATATATTCAAGGTGTGGTGCTAGTGGTCTTGTCATATATTCAAGGTGTGGTGCTAGTGGTCTCATCAGATATTCAAGGTGTGGTGCTAGTGGTCTTGTCATATATTCAAGGTGTGGTGCTAGTGGTCTTGTCATATATTCAAGGTGTGGTGCTAGTGGTCTTGTCATATATTCAAGGTGTGGTGCTAGTGGTTTTGTCAGATATTCAAGGTGTGGTCCTAGTGGTCTCATCAGATATTCAAGGTGTGGTGCTAGTGGTCTCATCAGATATTCAAGGTGTGGTGCTAGTGGTTTTGTCATATATTCAAGGTGTGGTGCTAGTGGTCTTGTCATATATTCAAGGTGTGGTGCTAGTGGTCTCATCAGATATTCAAGGTGTGGTGCTAGTGGTCTCATCAGATATTCAAGGTGTGGTGCTAGTGGTTTGTCATATATTCAAGGTGTGGTGCTAGTGGTCTTGTCATATATTCAAGGTGTGGTGCTAGTGGTCTTGTCATATATTCAAGGTGTGGTGCTAGTGGTCTCATCAGATATTCAAGGTGTGGTGCTAGTGGTCTCATCAGATATTCAAGGTGTGGTGCTAGTGGTTTTGTCATATATTCAAGGTGTGGTGCTAGTGGTCTTGTCATATATTCAAGGTGTGGTGCTAGTGGTCTTGTCATATATTCAAGGTGTGGTGCTAGTGGTTTTGTCAGATATTCAAGGTGTGGTGCTAGTGGTCTCATCAGATATTCAAGGTGTGGTGCTAGTGGTCTTGTCATATATTCAAGGTGTGGTGCTAGTGGTTTTGTCAGATATTCAAGGTGTGGTGCTAGTGGTCTTGTCATATATTCAAGGTGTGGTGCTAGTGGTTTTGTCATATATTCAAGGTGTGGTGCTAGTGGTTTTGTCAGATATTCAAGGTGTGGTGCTAGTGGTCTTATCAGATATTCAAGGTGTGGTGCTAGTGGTCTCATCAGATATTCAAGGTGTGGTGCTAGTGGTTTTGTCATATATTCAAGGTGTGGTGCTAGTGGTCTCGTCAGATATTCAAGGTGTGGTGCTAGTGGTCTCATCAGATATTCAAGGTGTGGTGCTAGTGGTCTCATCAGATATTCAAGGTGTGGTGCTAGTGGTTTTGTCATATATTCAAGGTGTGGTGCTAGTGGTCTTGTCAGGGTGTGGTGCTAGTGGTTTTGTCAGGGTGTGGTGCCATCTGAAAAAAGTTGAAAACCACATGTATAGACTAATCAGTGCTGACCAGGCGATGTAGTCAATATCACATCCACTGCTTGTTATCTTCCAGATCATTTTCCTGTACCCATGTTAGAATAGGTTTATTTGCCATTTTCTACCTGTCTCTGCCTGGATGATATATCTATCTGTCTCTCTGGCTGTGTCTTCCTCTGCTGTATCCCTCTCTATTTAGCCTACACTGTCTCCCTCTCTTAATCAGAGTCACTATGGTCAAGTGGGCAAGCCATTTGCCTTGTGCTCTGAAAGTCATGGGTTTGACTTACAGCTGTGTTGTTCAGTTCATGAGTGCAATTTTTATGGAAATTCCTGGGGATCGTGGCCAGACAAAAGGAGTTTGTGCTTTGTGTAAGGCTCCCAACAGGTGGCTAGCTCCTCTGCACAGAAATATATCCCCTCATCTTTAACTTTTTCTCTCTTACTATACAGGCAACAACATTAACCCACAGTTAGGCAATACCTGATTGAAATATACACATTTTGGGTTAAGATACTTTGAGCTGGAAAGAGGCAGAATGTGGACATCTGTTACGTCCTCCATCACACGCTAGATCACCCTCTAGGACAACTTGAAAAGCACAGCCATAGGCTGGTTAGGCTGCTGTACTCCGCTAAAATAAAGATCAAGGAGTTATCGACCTTATTAACATGACTCTGAACGTAAGGTTTATGCAACACCAACTGGATGCAAAACCAGAATATATTAACAACTGTTCCTAATTTGTCCTCAAATTTTTTTTTTTTTTATATGGGCAAATGGATCATCACAGTCTGGTGAGAGGAATGCAACGGCGAGTTCTTCAAGTAGACGAGGTGATCTGGGAAACGCTCAATGCTCAGAGGACAGGCAAGACAGATGTATAATCAGAATTCTACTGGCACTTTTAGTATTGGAACTCTGCAATAGCTGCTGAAGATGGAGACAGAGCGTTTATGGGAATGCCCAGAGCGGTGTGATGTCAGCTCGTAAGTCAACTCAACTCATATGGGCATACTGTTACTATATTCTCAGCAAGCCTGTATGCACTATCTATCTGAACAGACAACAACAAAATGACCGGTCATAAACAATGCAAACGAAGACAAACATAGACAAAGATGAAACTGTAGACAAATAAGAAATAAAAAGCCTTCGTCAAATAATTGAAGCAAAAAGTAACACTGACAACTACAGACAATGACATGTGTATAACTTCAAACAAGCAGACTCATTCAGGTACATGGAACAATATCAAACAGTCAATAAAGCAAAAATTTTAAATCTAAATATCCAAATTAATGGCTCTAATGTTGCACAATGAAAGTGTTGTATATCCAACATTTGATGCTATTGTTTTCATTCTCTGTCTACTATATGTTATTATTATATTTATTGTTGTTATTGTTGTTACAAAAGATAAATGTCTTTTCTTCTAGTAACCCAGTTTGATTTGTCTCATTTCTTTCTGTTAGCCGGCTGTTCAATCCCAGCTTGTCTAAACTGTCTAGATTTGCTGCTTTTCTGTCCCAGATTGTGCACACTGACAGTTCTAGAAACTCCTAAATATTCTAATTGTTTGTTGTTGTCCAAGGGCCTACATTATCCAGTTCCTACTTTTCTGAGTGCATTAAGCTTCCAGTTCTTACATGTTTGAGAGCATAAAGTATCCAGTTCTCAATTGTCTGAGTGCCTAAACCACCCAGTTCTGAACTGTCCAAGTGTCTACAGCAGTAGTTTCAATGTATAAAAGTAAATTACAGGATCCATGTCCATACTTTCAGGTATATTAGGCATATGGTGCTTCCCTCAAATTCTAACAGAGCAATTGGCACTTACTGGATCACGTGATCAATTTGACACTGGACACCTCTACTTCCGCAAACATTTCCTGATGCTCATTTCAAGGGGTCGACCTGCAAGCCCAAATCAATTTTTACAAATCTGCCTCAGCTTGGACTAAAAACTCCAACAACTGGACCAGTCGGCATGTTTGCTAGTCATGATTCGAAAGTGACTCCCAGTGCACACAAATTCTCATTGTTGACTAATTTAATATTATTATTATTATCTCTCTAGGTACTTTTACTACTTTAATTATGTTATTTTATATGCATTTATCCACATGCATTTATCTACTTATTGCAAATTCACGTCTTCAATTATCTATTATTTGAGAGTATTAACGAAAAGTACGATGACAAATTAACTGCAGGCTGAAATATGCAAATGTTGAAATCAATTTTGAAAACGACAGTAGTGAGTGCAGACAGCCTGTGATACTTTCAGTTCCATTCTACCGATGATTTCGTTTCGATTTGTGATAGCTCTCTGTGTAAATATATTCTGACGCTAAGTTCAGCAGTGAATCTTGGATATAACAATTAACAAACAACTTAAAACGGATACAACTACACAATAGGAAAATTCGCACTGCTTTAAGACTGTCAAGTTTATGAGATGGAGTTCCAGGCCTCTTTTGGATTTACTGTTTTTTTTTTTTTTCCAACGTACATTATTTCGTTTCTGGATTTTTGTTTTTTAATTACTTGAAATTACAAAACACTGATGGGAAAGGTCTTGGAGACGATTGTCAACAAACGTCTGATCTTCTTCTTGAACCAAGAGAAACTCTACAGCCCCAACCAGTCAGGCTTCAGGGCCAACAGGTCAACCTTGGACCAAATTATAAGACTGGAAAATGACACTAAAGTCGGGTTCAAGAGGGGAGACAAAACGATGGCCGCCTTCCTGGACCTTGCCCAGGCGTTCGACCAGTGCTGGCGCGAAGGAGCCATCATCAATATCAAGAGGTTAGGACTCACGGGAAGAATCTTGAACTATATCTCAAGCTTCCTCTCCGAAAGAACCTTCGCAGTCCAGATCCGAAATGAAGAATCTGACACCCTAGTACAGGAGAACGGCATCCCACAAGGGGCGGTAATCTCTCCGACTTTTTTCAATTTGCTGGTAAACGACCTCCACAGTGCGATCACAGATACAAGAGTCAAACTCTCTCAATTCGCTGATGACTGCGCACTGTGGATGACCGGGAGCGAGATTTCACAAATAAGAAACGGTCTCCAGCCAGAGCTCAATAACGTAATGCGCTGGATGAACGAATGGGGCTTTAGGGTCAACACTGACAAATCAGCCCTCATGATTTTTAACACACACCAAAAAAAAAAAAAAAAAAAAAAAAAAAAAAAACATGCATTGATACGAAAAGGGATCGATCAGACTAGAAATGGGAGGCAGGCAGATCCAGAGGAAACTACACACCAGATTCCTAGGGATGGATCTAGATGAGCAACTCTGCTGGAATAGGCACATAACGTACACGGTGGAGCGGACCAAACCGCTCATTAACATGCTAAAAATCATTAAAGGAAGCGGATGGGGCGCCCACACCAAAACTATGTTGCAATTTTATATGGCATTTATAAGAGGTAGAATGGAGTACGGCTCCATCGTGTACGATTCAGCCTCCGACAACATTAAAAACAGCCTAGACAGCATCCAAAGACAAGCCCTAGCTACCATCACAGGAACTGGTCCAGGCACCAGCAGAGCCGCAATGGAAGTTGCACTCGGAGTGACGCCCCTAAATCTCAGGCGCAGACAACTGGCCCTCAGCTATTGGATGCAAGCCAACGCCAACCCAGATCACCCCGCCAGGGACGCTTTCCTTCCCAACTTGCACCACTGGGGAAGTGGCAAAACCCAACGATTCCAAGAACCAGTAGCCTGGCTCCTGGCGAGAACAGTGGAAGGAAGTGGAATAGACCAGGCCTTCAAGGACACCATCAAAATCATTGCAACCTTCCCCCCATGGGAACTGACCCCACCGGCGACCGACACCTCCCTAACAAAATTAATCCCCAAGCAGACTGATAAGGCAGAAGCCACACACACAAAAAAAAAAAAAAATAGCAGAAGACTATATAGAACATCTTGTGAAAGACAGCATCGAAATATACACAGACGGGTCCAAAAATGAGAAGGGGAAAGTCGGGGTAGGCATTTTCGCTCCCCAACTCGGAATTACCAAAAGTTTCAAACTCACTGAAGGGACCGCAATATGCACAGCCGAACTAATCGGCATTAAAGAAGCAATCAGCCTCGCCCTAGCCAACCCCCCGGTCAAAGTACACATACTCACAGAATCTCTAGCCGCAGTATTAGCTCTCAAAGACCTCAGCAGAGGCTCCAGACAAGACGTCAAAGAAGAGATACTAGTGGCAGCCACGGAGCTAAGAAACAAAGGATGTGAACTGACAATATGCTGGATACCGGCGCATAAAGGTATAGCTGGAAATAAAGCGGCCGATTTAGCTGCCAAACAAGGCATCGACAGCGGCGATTCCCTAGACATAGGATTAAGCAAGTCAGAAGGCCGAGCAGCCACCAAACAACTTCTGTTAGAAGCCTTAGAAATCCAGTGGCGCAACTGCAAACAAGGGAGACACGCCTACAACCTACTAAGAGAACCAAGGCCCCAGCCTCAGATAAAAGGGCGAACGAAAATCCCCACCACCAAGCTCTGGAATCTGAGGCTGGGTTATTGGTCCGACGTATACAAAAACCCAAAGTGCACCACATGCAGAAGTCAAAACTCAATAACTAACTACCTGATAGAATGCAAGAAACACGAGATCTTACGAAAACCAATCCTCGACTACTGTGAAATCCACAAAAAGAAAGTATCTATCTCAGAGTTGCTGCACACAAACAGCGACAAAGCCCTGGAGGCGCTAGTTAAACAATACATCAGCAGAACCGCAGGCAATTACCGCCCGGTAATTGACACCACCACAGAAACAACCCAGATTACAGCCCCGACAAGCAGTTCGAATCAAGGATGAGTCGCCACGACCCAGCCCTGGAGGAGACAGCCAGCCGGCAAGCGGACAGACGGAAGAGGCCAACGAAAGCAAGATCCGACAGCAATCTCCCCTTACCTAGCAAGCTATCTATCTCACTCACTCCTTCGACCTTGCTTTATGTCCTACGCAGCTTTTCAAGCTTTCAATCTTCTCTCTTTTTTTTTTTTTTTTTTTTTCATAATCTGTGTTACATCCTCACTACTTCCATACATGTGTGGCCAGAATAAAACTGGATAAAGAAATTGAAAAAAAAAACCCCCCCCCCCCCCCCCCCCCCCAAAAAAAAAAAAGCTAAACGCACTTAAACATGTACGATGCGAAAAAATAAAAGCACAAAAAGATTTTAAGTGGGGACCCTGAAAATGGCCGTGTGGTTGGAGCTCAGTGACAAGCTTTTAGATTTCGATTTGGTGTACAAGGAAGCAGCCAAGGCACAATCAGGGACAGAGTGCTTACCAGCTAGCAAAAACCAAAACCTCACACAGACAAAAAGGAAAGGCGCAAAAAGAAAAATCGGTAATCGAGGTGACCCCAAACGCCATACAAAATCAAAACGACCAAGAGTCAACCATTAAACAAGGACTTGATATAGTCACCGCTCAACCAGGAGCAGACTGAAAAAGTCAAGGAGTTTTATTATTTTTGTTTTCTACAAAGTTCAAGTTCAGTGAGAATTTT